GAAAAGCATTCCAGGTGAAGCTGGTTGAGAGAATGCCAAGAGTGTGCAAAGCTGTCATCAAGGCAAAGGATGGCTATTTGAAGAATCTCAAATATCAAAAATATTGATTTATTTTTTAACCGTTTTTTGTTTACTACATGATTCCATGTGTTATTTCATAGTTTTGACGTCTTCACTATTATTCTACAATGTAAAGAATAGTAAAAATAAAGAAAAACCCCTTGAATGAGTAGGTGTGTCCACACCTTTGACTGGTAGTGTATGTTCAGCCTGAGGACATAAAATACCATTAGACGCCAATACATGGCCGGAAATTGCTTCAGTCCTTCAAGCAAAGAGGTTAGATCTTGATTGATAAATGTAACATGTTCATGTAATTGCTATTTATGTAATTGCTCTCCCGCTACTCTCTCCTCTTCCATCCTATCATCTCTTCTCTCTGCTCAATCCTTCTCCCTCCAATCTCCTGATTCTGCCTCCTCTCCTCCCTTTCTGCATCCTTTGACTCTCTATGTCCCCTATCCTCCCGGCCGGCTCGGTCCTCCCCTCCAGCTCCGTGGCTTGATGACTCATTGCGAGCTCACAGAACAGGGCTCCGGGCAGCCGAGCGGAAATGGAGGAAAACTAGACTCCCTGCGGACCTGGCATCTTTTCACTCACTCCTCTCTACGTTTTCTTCATCTGTTTCTGCTGCTATGGCCACTTTCTACCACTCTAAGTTCCAAGCATCTGCCTCTAACCCTAGGAAGCTCTTTGCCACCTTCTCCTCCCTGCTGAATCCTCCTCCACCTCCCCTCCTCCCTCTCTGTGGATGACTTCGTCAACCATTTTGAAAAGAAGGTTGACGACATCCGATCCTCATTTGTTAAGTTAAATGACACTGCTGGTCCTGCTCACACTGCCCTACCCTATGCTTTGACTTCTTTCTCCCCTCTCTCTCCAGATAAAATCTTGCGACTTGTGACGGCCGGCCACCCAACAACCTGCCCGCTTGACCCTATACCGTCCTCTCTTCTCCAGACCATCTCCGGTGACCTTCTCCCTTACCTCACCTCGCTGATCAACTCATCCTTGACCGCTGGCTATGTCCCTTCCGTCTTCAAGAGAGCGAGAGTTACACCCCTTCTCAAAAAACCAACACTCGATCCCTCTGATGTCAACAACTACAGACCAGTATCCCTTCTTTCTTTTCTCTCCAAAACTCTTGAGCGTGCCGTCTTTAGCCAACTCTCTTGCTATCTCTCTCAGAATGACCTTCTTGATACAAACCAGTCAGGTTTCAAGACTGGTCATTCAACTGAGACTGCTCTTCTCTGTGTCACGGAGGCTCTCCGCACTGCTAAAGCTAACTCTCTCTCCTCTGCTCTTGTCCTTCTAGACCTGTCTGCTGCCTTTGATACTGTGAACCATCAGATCCTCCTCTCCACCCTCTCCGAGCTGGGCATCTCCGGCGCGGCTCACTCTTGGATTGCGTCCTACCTGACCGGTCGCTCCTACCAAGTGGCGTGGCGAAAAGCTGTCTCCGCACCACGTGCTCTCACCACTGGTGTCCCCCAGGGCTCAGTTCTAGGTCCTCTCCTATTCTCGCTATACACCAAGTCACTTGGCTCTGTCATATCCTCACATGGCCTCTCCTATCATTGCTACGCAGACGACACACAACTAATCTTCTCCTTTCCCCCTTCTGATAACCAGTTGGCGAATCGCATCTCTGCATGTCTGGCAGACATATCAGTATGGATGACGGATCACCACCTCAAGCTGAACCTTGGCAAGACGGAGCTGCTCTTCCTCCCGGGGAAGGACTGCCCGTTCCATGATCTCGCCATCACGGTTGACAACTCCGTTGTGTCCTCCTCCCAGAGTGCGAAGAGCCTTGGCGTGACCCTGGACAACACCATGTCGTTCTCCGCTAACATCAAGGCGGTGACCCGATCCTGTAGGTTCATGCTCTACAACATTCGGAGAGTACGACCCTGCCTTACACAGGAAGCGGCACAGGTCCTAATCCAGGCACTTGTCATCTCCCGTCTGGATTACTGCAACTCGCTGTTGGCTGGGCTCCCTGCCTGTGCCATTAAACCCCTACAACTCATCCAGAATGCCGCAGCCCGTCTGGTGTTCAACCTTCCCAAGTTCTCTCACGTCACCCCGCTCCTCTGCACACTCCACTGGCTTCCAGTTGAAGCTCGCATCTGCTACAAGACCATGTTGCTTGCCTACGGAGCTGTGAGGGGAACGGCACCTTCAGGCTCTGATCAGTCCCTACACCCAAACGAGGGCATTGCTTTCATCCACCTCTGGCCTGCTGGCTCCCCTACCTCTGCGGAAGCACAGTTCCCGCTCAGTCCAGTCAAAACCAATGGTGGAACAAGCCCTCTCACGACGCCAGGACAGCGGAGTCACTCACCACCTTCCGGAGACATTTGAAACCCCACCTCTTTAAGGAATACCTGGGATAGGATAAAGTAATCCTTCTACCCCCCCCCCCCCCCCCCCCCCCCCCCCCCAAAAAAAAAAAAAAAAAAACATTGTAAAGTGGTTATCCCACTGGCTATAAGGTGAATGCACCAATTTGTAAGTCGTAAATGTAAAAAAGGTGCTATCTAGAACCTAAAATTGTTATTTGGCTGTCCCCATAGGAGAACCCTTTTTGATTCCAGGTAGAACTCTTTTGGGTTCCATTTAGCACCCTTTCCGCAGAGGGTTCTACATGGAACCAAAAAGGGTTCTTCTATGGGGACAGCCAAAGGTGAAACAATTTTTTCTAAGAGTGTACACACAAGGTTAAAAAGGTTCTGTAAATAGTTAATTTGTTTGCCCTCAATATAAATGGTTTATGCTATGAGGGAGCGAGGCATATGCAATAAAAGGGACAAAAATGACATTAATAAAAGTAAAAAATATATACAAATGTTTCTGTACATTGTTTGTCTTCTTGTGCTGGGATGGAGTGCAGTGCATAACCTAACAGACAGTTTTTTTCTTAGTATTTCTTAAAAGTAAAATGAAGAATGGATAGGCTGAATTGTTTTGATCTGTAAATAGTTTGTTTGTCGGTGTATTTTCTAACGATCTGTCCCTCGACAAACATGCGTAGCCGGCAAAAAGATGAAGAACGCTTATTAGTTCATTTTGATTGGACAATGTTGTGGCATAAATGTCAGGAGAAGAAAGGTTTTACTCCTCTCGGAAGTGAAACAATATATGGGGCAATCGAATACCTTTCTGTGTCTGGAAATAATGCAGGCAGCAGTAGACAGCCATGCAGGGCTCTAAGCTGACCTTATTCACAAGGAGTACTTGTGCGCCTAAGTTGAAAAATGTAGGCGCACACATAAATTTAGGAGCACAATGAGAAGGTAGGTGTTAAATCTAGAATCCTTTACATTTTTCTAGGCACACTGGTGCTCCTAAATTAAAATTCCAGGTGGCACAACAAAATATATAGGCGCATATGGGAGTAACTCGGTTCCACTATAGAGTCCTGCCAGGCATTATTATTTAGTCTATTTAATTGATAATTCAATAGGACTAAGTAGATCATCTGCATTTTCAGCTGTTGCGATCGTTTCTTACCTTTGAACAATGTGTGAATGAGTAGGAACATACCACCCTAATATTTACCCTGAAATAAAAAGGCAACATGTACTTTCACATCATATTCATCATCTGATCTCAAAACTAGTGCTCTACACTTCGCTGTTCAAATACATATGGTGAGGACCAATGTTCCCTCCATGTCCCGCGTAGAATAAATATCAGCCCACGAAGAGAAGCACGAGATTGAACTTCACTGAACTTTCTAGAGTTTTTCCTGTTAGTTAATACTATCAATGTTTTCCTTTGCTGTGGCAATTCTATTGCATTGACACACAGGACTCAGCCCGTACGCTACACCAGTGCGTCATAACCAATCAGAGCTGCAGTAGGCCTATATGCAAATAGACCATTGCCATATATGGATCTGTGCCATTTACTTTTAACAGGACTGTGTTTACAGCTGTGGTCGTTAGTAGATAGGCTTGTTGAGAGATCAAAGGGAGAGCTGCATGTAGCCAAGTGTGCACATCTTTTGCTAGTTAGTGAGTTATTCGCCCAGTTATAGATAATTTGTTGTCCACAATGGGGGAGTGATTGCTTCCTACAAGAGCACAAAACGTGTACATTTCTAGACCTCTTTGAAAAGCCAGTCAGGTAAAGAGCTTTGTTTTGTCTTTAAAGGGGCAGTGTTATATTTTGACACAGGCTTGAATAAGCAAAGTAGCCAATTGGCAGAGGGTAGCATAATTTGTCTGATTCTCTGTAATAATGATATGCGAATAATTTGATTTTGTTAAGTGGTTTCTTACATCAGACATCACAACAACATTTTCAGTCACCTCCTTGTCTGAAGGACAAGTGGATATACAGGTTAATGTCAAGCCCTGCATGTTTTTTTTCAAAAACACCACACATTGGCTGCTACTGTAGGCTGAATGATAGAACAGCTATTTCCATGTTAAAATGTTATGGGATACATTTTCTCCATTGTTTTTGATGGTAGGCCACTCTGGTAGGCCTACATTATGATAAAAAAGCCACAGTAGCCTACTTCGCCACTGTTAAAATTGTAACTTAAAGCAGGTACAGACTCAGTGTTCACAGTGTTCACAATGTTCAAGTTTGCGCTCAGCAGACCTGACATTTGCTCAGTGCCAAAAACAATTAGAGGGAACATTGGTAAGGACTGTATTTCTTACACATTGTAATTTTTGCCTAAATTGTTTTATATTTTCTTCTTTAAAGGTTCTGGTGGTCGCTCATCATCCCCTCTGCCTTGTGAGTCAGTCAGTGGTGTGAGTGAACTGCTGTCCCCTCCAAGTCCGGCCTCTTCTTTGCCTACAACAACAATGATTAACATGAGCACATTGTGGGTCAGCATCTTCCAGGTACCTTGGCAGAAGATTCCCTCCAGCCTCAAGCAGGCCATTGCCCAAGGAAGAGGGTAGAGGCGGCAGATGGTGAGGGAGACTGTCGACGCCATGCGTGAGCACTGCCCCAATCCCAACAGGGCTGTATGCAGTGAAATTGCTAAATCCACTGTAACGCAGTACCCAAAGATTTTTGGAGACCTGACCGAGGAAGTAGAACCACTTGACAGTGTGTACCACTCCCTGTTCACTAAGATTAAGACCGGAGTGCAGCATAAAAATCGTAACCACACTTTAGATAGAATCCGTAGACCCAAGAGGAGCTATGAAGAGGAAAGGGACATCAGCGGACAGGCAAAAACAGCAAGAACCAAGGTCGGCAGTTATAGCTGCATCAACTGGCAAACACAGGACCTTCCAGAGAAAGAAACCCCAGACTCCCTGGAAAACAAGAGACAGGCGATGGCGACCATTTTCAGCTGTGTGGGCCCCAGAGGTGCAGACAAGAGGGAAGTGGGTTACCTGATGAAGCTGACATACACTTATCAACGCCACATGATCAACACTTGTCCTCCTTCAAGCATCAGTGACCTCCAGGAACAGTGGCCTTTCCCTTTCACCAAGTTATGGCAACGGCATCGAGATTGACAGTCGCCTGACTCAAGCTCTCCTGAACAAGGGTAAGAGAATTGCCAACTTTTTTAGAAGCCAAAAGACCAAGGGGAGGAGAGCGATCCAGTGCCTGCTGAATGAAATTGACGGTTACATCAGAGGAAATAACGATCTAACAGCCACTGCTGCCATTCTTTTGTTGATGACCCACTTCATAGAGAAGGATGAATCTCTGTTCCTCTTGGCAGATGTAAGGAAGTGTTTTTATACTTATAAAGTTTATATACGATTAATGGTGTTTATACTGTACTATTACACATGATTTGAATAATTTTTTTAAATGTATGTTTTGTGATTTTAGGTCACTGCAACTCGGGTTGATGTCGAGGTGCAAATTCCCTTGCCAAACACACCAAGGCTGATCGTGCTTGGTAATACAATTATTTGATTTAAGGTGGAACAGAAATATATAGTATTGTGGTACCTATCTAGAGATGTCTAGTAAGTATGCACTAACACCCTTACTTTTTTGTATTTCAGGAAATACTCTATTGGGTTCCTCAAAATGGATGGTGTCGATCGAGGGGAGAGTGGTCTGTGTTTTGGACAGTGAGTCCAACTTTGCTGCTGCCCTCTCTGTGCTCCTCAGCACTTTCTATGTTTTTAACATAGAATACCAGGAGTCGGCCTCTGCAACCTTGGAGCTGATACGGCGGTAAGCATTCATTGAGCCACACTTTCATTTAGAATCTGTTAGTTACATTGCAATGGTATTTCTTATTGTTATTTTTTCATATATTCTATGTTGGGTTGTGCAGGTTCCTGGTTCGAATAAACCCTAAAGGAACCAAATGCACAGCGAAAGAAGGAGTGAGCCGCAAAAGGTCGTTCAGAGGAAGCCATTGCCATTAACCCACATGTTACACGCGTCCTCGCAGACCTGAAAGAGTTAGAGTAGAAAAAGTCCAACATGTAAGTACACAAACACAGACACCTGATGAACATAAACTTTATTTGTCAATTGTCATCTGCCTTTTTACCCACCGAGTAATAGTAACAGTAATAGCAATCGTAATAGTAGTAGTACTCTTAATAGAAGTAGTAATCCCTCTCTTTCTATTCTTTCTATTTCCATGCTTGTCCTAGTTGAAGTATCAGACCTGAGGAGGATCAGAGTTTCAAAGATTGGGGTGATAATCTACATGCCACCAAGACTTATTTGAGACTTGTTTGCTTCTCGGATTCTCTCAGAAATCCTGCCATGCGTGTTTGGTCAGCAGATGCTCTGCTAGCGCCATCCCAGAACCTGTGTTGGCTTGCGGTAGCGTGCCTCTCTGGCTCCAGTCTAGCCCTGCTCGCTCCTCTATATCCATCTGTCTCTGTCAGCCACTCACTCGCTCCATCTCTCTCTCGTTTCTCTCTCAAAGACAGGCAGGCATGCAGTTGTTGTTATAGTTTTTTCTGTAAACATTTCTCCCTGTTCGACTGTTTTCCCATTGATTTGTTTTGATAAAAATAAATCTTACATGGTCCAGTATTTTCAAGAATGACCTATTCTGATGTCTTGGTTTGTTTATGGTGAAGTACATTATGGGCCACTATTTATCAATGTTGTTATCTCTCTCTCTCTCTCCTACTATCGGGAGTTGTAATGTTGCTCTTTTCAAATGTTGTTCTTTGTGGTTAAAGTGCAATTCATGTGAAATACATGTTATGAATTTGAATAAATATATATTTGTACAAGTATTGTTTTCTTACAATATTACATTTCAGGGAGCTGTCTTCTAAAGACAACCTGCAATGCTGCTTAGTACTGTAAAATCATTGTATATTACTGTAGGTATTTCCCTGTAAATTTACAGCGTTATACACACACACACACACACACACACACACACAATACCAGTCAAAAGTTTGGACACACCTACTCATTCAAGGGTTTCATTTCATTTGTACTATTATTTACATTGTAGAATAATAGTGAAGACATCGAAACTATGAAATAACATATATGGAATCATGTAGTAACCAAAAAAGTGTTAAACAAATCAAAATATATTTAATATTTCTGATTCTTCAAATAGCCACCCTTTGCCTTGATGACAGCTTTGCACACGCTTGGCATTCTCTCAACCAGCTTCATGAGGTAGTCACCTGGAATGCATTTAAACTAACAGGTGTGCCTTCTTAAAAGTTAATTTGCGGAATTTCTTTCCTTAATGCGTTTGAGCCAATCAGTTGCAGTCACAAAAACCATCAAGCGCTATGATGAAACTGGCTCTCATGAGTACCACCACAGGAATGGAAGACCCAGAGTTACCTCTGCTGCAGAGGATAAGTTCATTAGAGTTACCAGCCTCAGAAATTGCAGCCCAAATAAATGGTTCACACAGTTCAAGTCACAGACACATCTCAACTTTAACTGTTCAGAGGGGACTGTGTGAATCAGGCCTTCATGGTTGAATTGCTGCAAAGAAACCACTACAAAAGGACACCAATAAGAAGAAGAGACCTGCTTGGGCCAAGAAACAGGAGCAATGGACATTAGACAGGTGGAAATTTGTCCTTTGGTCCATAGTCCAAATTTGAGATTTTTGGTTCCAACCGCCGTGTCTTTGTGAGACGTGGTGTGGGTGAACAGATGATCTCTGCATGTGTAGTTCCCACCGTAAAGCATGGAGGAGGAGGTGATATGGTGTGGGGGTGCTTTGCAGGTGACACTGTGATTTATTTAGAATTCAAAGGCACACTTAACCAGCATGGCTAAAACAGCATTCTGCAGCGATACGCCATCCCATCTGGTTTGGGCTTAGTGGGACTATCATTTCTTTTTCAACAGGACAATGACCCAACACACCTCCATGCTGTGTAAGGGCTATTTTACCAAGAAGGAGGGTGATGGAGTGCTGCATCAGATGACCTGGCCTCCATAATCCCCCGACCTCATCCCAAACCATCTCAATTGGGTTGAGTCGGACAGCAGAGTGAAGGAAAAGCAGCCAACAAGTGCTCAGCATATGTGGGAACTCCTTCAAGACAATTGGAAAAGCATTACAGGTGAAGCTGGTTGAGAGAATGCCAAGAGTGTGCAAAGCTGTCATCAAGGCAAAGGGTGGCTATTTGAAGAATCTCAAATATATTTTGATTTGTTTAACACTTTTTTGGTTACTACATGATTCCATATGTTATTCTACAATGTAGAAAATAGTCAAAGTAAAGAAAAACCCTTGAATGACTGGTAATATATATATATATATATATATAAAGAAATAGAAGATGAGCATGCTTTGCATGCAAATGTATTACCAATAACACGTAATGGGGTATATTGCTTAATTTCATTTCATATTTGTGACCTGCGTCTTTTAACCAATGTATGTTAAAAGAAAACATTTAGATACAATAGTAAAAACAGATAAACTATTCTACAACTGAACATCAAGAATCAACAACGTTCCTACCCTACCACAAGAGGCTGAGTTATATGGCTAATTTATTATTATAGTTCAGGGCTCTACACTGACAGTGCATGAAGCACATAAATAAATCTAGGAGAACAACTAAACTATTTGAGTGTTTTAATGATAAGAAATGACTAAAAGTTCATGAATAAATATTTTTAGGAGTTAACCGTGCTCAATCAAGCACAATCATTAGGCGAGACAAAAATGTTCAGCTGCCTCTTTAAGGGACCGTGGTAACTTCGGCACTCACGTGTCTGTGATGAAATAAATCTCAGACTGCGATGTCTTCCTAGCAGCAGACGGTTGCGGTAAACTCAAACTAACATTCTAAAACAACCTAGCATGTGAACAAAATGATACAACTGGCCAAGATACATGAGGACAAAGTCACACTTTAGTAACCTTTCTTGTTAATTCAACCAAACTTCTACATACAGTGCATTCGGAAAGTATTCAGCCCCCTTGACATTTTCCACATTTTGTTACATTAAAGCCTTATTCTAAAATTTATTAAATAAACATTTCCCCTCATCAATCTACACACAATACCCCATAATTTTTGCAAATGTATTAAAAATAAAAAACATACCATATTTACATAGGTATTCAGACCCATTGCTATGTGACTCAAAATTGAGCTCAGGTGCATCCTGTTTCCATTGATCATCCTTGAGATGTTTCTACAACTTGATTGGAGTCCACCTGTGGTAAATTAAATTGATTGGACATGATTTGGAAAGGCACACACCTGTCTATATAAGGTCCCACAGTTGACAGTGCATGTCATAGCAAAAACCAAGCCATGAGGTTGAAGGAATTGTCCGTAGAGGTCCGAGACAGGATTGTGTTGAGGCACAGATCTGGGGAAGGGTACCAAAACATGTCTGCAGCATTAATGGTCCACAAGAACACAGTGGCCTCCATCATTCATGAATGGAAGAAGTTCAGAACCACCAACACTCTTCCTAGAGCTGGCCGCCTGGCCAAACTGAGCAATCGGGGGAGAAGGGCCTTGGTCAGGGAGGTGACCAAGAACCCAATGGTTACTCTGACAGAGCTCCAGAGTTCCTCTGTGAAGATGGGAGCACCTTCCAGAAGGACAACCATCTCTGCAGCACTCCACCAATCAGGCCTTTATGGTAGAGTGGCCAGACAGAAGCCACTCCTCAGTAAGGAGCATGACAGCACGCACCTAAAGACTCTAAGACCATGAGAAACAAGATTCTCTGGTCTGATGAAATCAAGATTGAACTCTTTGGCCTGAATGCCAAGCGTCATGTCTGGAGGAAACCTGGCACCATCCCTACGGTGAAGCATGGTGGTGGCAGCATCATGCTGTTGGGATGTTTTTCAGCAGCAGGGAGTGGGAAACTAGTCAGGATCGAGGGAAGGATAAACTGAGCAAAGTACAGAGAGATCCTTGGTGAAAACCTGCTCCACAGCGCTCAGGACCTCAGACTGGGGCGAAGGTTCACCTTCCAACAGGACAACAACCATAAGAACACAGCCAAGACAATGCAGGAGTGGCTTCGGGACAAGTCTCTGAATGTCCTTGAGTGGCCCAGCCAGAGCCCGGACTTAAACCCGATCGAACATCTCTGAAGAGACCTGAAAATAGCTGTGCAGCGACGCTGCCTATCCAAGCTTGTAGCGTCATACCCAAGAAGACTCAAGGCTGTAATCGCTGCCAAAGGTGCTTCAAAAAAGTACTGAGTAAAGGGTCTGAATACTTATGTAAATGAGGTATTTCAGTTATAAAAACCTGTTTTTGCTTTGTTATTATGGGGTATTGTGTGTAGATTGATGAGGGGGGAAAAAACAATTTAATCCATTTTAGAATAAGGCTGTAACGTAACAAAATGTGGAAAAAGTCAAGGGGTCTGAATACTTTCCAAATGCACTGTATGGCCTTGTGACCACCAGCCAACGTGGCTGGTGAAATAGACATTCTTACCTGCCAATGACA